TCCTGGCTGAATCCAGCACAATACCCAATGGATCTGACCAACAAGAGTTGCAGGGAAGTTATTAAAAATCATAGATTTTCACCACAGAACCACATTTTCCCATCAGGTATTCAAGCAGCATTGCAGGGCACAAAGAGGGATCCTGCTCTAGGCAGGTGATACGCAGGTGACCACAGAAGCACTGCCACAGCTTATTGTTAGGAGAGACCATTGTCAGAATGATCTATACATTTTTAAGCCAAGATCTTGAATAAAAATGTTGTTGACAATCCCGCTAGTGTCTTTGGAAATGGGCCTGTTTAACTCTCCTGTGGGGCTTCAGAAAAAGGTAAAGTTATTTGAGAAGCAAGGTTATCTGAGAATGCAAACTGATAACACTGAAGCAGTATACTGAATGTGGGTGCATTAAACAACTACTAAAAATCAAAGTTCCTGCTTCAGTAGGATATCTCCTGCCATGCCTGAAATACTTAATATGTTTAAAAAAGCATAAGCTAGAAATATCTTTTCAGAAAACTTTCCTTCATGATGTAAATCACTGCATCAACAGATGCTGCTTTTAGGGTATACAACACGTTAATTAGAACAATACTGGACAACATTATTTTGCTAAGCTTTCTAGAAGAAATATTTGGTCTCTGGTATAATTCATCTGCCTGTGTGTCCTTACTGTCGTAAGTCATGTCGTCATTTATGGTTAGTTTTGATCATTGTTTTGGCTTAGGTAAAAAACCAAGAGTCTAAAAAGAAAGGCTCCGTTGCTCTGAAGGCAACCCAGGAGCACCTTGCGTAATCAATAAGGGGAACGAAGCCTTAAAAGGACTGATGGAAACAGCAGGATATGATGCCATTCCTTGGACTATTTCAGAGGAACATGAATGTTAAATTTTGTGGGCACTTGGGGAAATAACAGGTTGAATCCAGAATGTCACTCCATGCAAGCCACAAGAACTGAAAATGATGGAGTAGTGATTCAGTTCTAATTCATCTTTAAAAATGTCAGTTCTCGTGAGTTTGCCATGATATCAGGATTTTCCTCTACATGCAAACTAAGGAACAGTTGCGGCAATGATGAAGGATCAGTTAAGTACCAAGTCAAAACACAGTACAGGGGATAGGAAAAAACCCAAACATCCCACACCCTATAGCGCGGTTTGGTGAACAGTTTTTTTAACCAAGTTAAAAAACACCTTCAGCTTCTGGATTTGTTCACTAGCAGAGACCACCTCTTGCTCCTTCTTAGGATGCAGCGATGTGTTATCAGTTTAAGATTTCTTCTGCTTATTAGAAAAAGGCCAACTTCACCGACTGGAAAGACGCTGCAAACCTTTTTATTCAAACAAATTTGGGAGAGACTCACTACCTGGGACGGCCACTGTTATAAAGCTAAGGGCTGAGTGCCTCTGCAGAACAAGGCCATAACCAGGTAATGAAAACACTAAAGCCCTTAAGTGTCTTGTGAGACAAAAGATTTCAAACCAAATTTCAGTGGTTAATTTTAGTAAGTTAAGAATTAGCAAGATGCTCACTCAAAGTACATCTATGCAAATCCTGAACACTGTATGAGTATTTAAAGGCAGGAAACTCAGGCGAGAAGTGTTTGAGGTAACACACACATCAATAATCTCTCCATACACGTAAACATGTGTTACACAGCTTATACTCCCTCCGTTTCTAGCATTTTTCAAAACATTTTCTCTTATCCTATGGTAACAGAGACACCTGCCTGGGATCCCCAAAGAGTCATTTTCCTCAGTATTGCTGTGTGGACAGCAGCAATGGCTCATCTGCTGAAAGTGCCACGGAAGTGTGCCAGCTCTGGCATTTTTAAAGCTATGCCATGTTATTAGAGCCATTTCATTCCCAGTGTATATTAGATTCAGAGCGCTGATCAAACAGTAATGCTTCACTTGTCTTGAATTTGAACTTGGCTGCTTTTGCCTTGCTCAAGAATCAAGTCCAATTTCTTTCCTTCATTGATCAGAACAGAGAAATCTATTTTTGTTGTTCTCATCATATGAAAAACTAAGGAGAAAAGAATTCTTGATTTTTTCTCTCCATGGGGAAAACAAAAGCTTACATAAAGTCCAATAATAATGAAATGTAATGGCTTCATTAAGATTGATACACTCAGTACTTCTGTGAAGTTATAAACATCACTCCTCCATCCATAAAAGAAGAAAACCTTTGGGAAAATCACAGAGAAGACCCATGATGAATGCCTGTCAGAGTGAGGCATGCAAACCTCTCTGCAGCTGTGCTCCTGGTTAACCACTTTACAAAAATGTTTTTATGTAGGTGGTAAATGCAGATTCAAAACTGGGGCTGCTGAAGGCACCAAGTTCAGGTTAACTTTCAGAAATCTGTTATTATTCACTTTTCCCTCAACAACAAGTTACATACTTGTGTGTTTCAAGTGAGGTCAGCGAGCTGCAAAGCACTGTAATAAGCGATGCTGCTAATGCAATTCACAGAATGCAGTTTTGGCTAAACATACACTTACCATACAGGTCACTTTCTGCTTAACCTACAAAGACTTAAACTTAATATTATAGGGAAATTGTTTTACCAGAACATTAAGAATCCAGCGCTGGACAAGACGGTAAGTCTTCAGTTTCACACATCCAGGCAACAACACTTAAGCTTTATTTGTATTTTAAAATACAGATATGCAAATGAAAGCTAAAACCAACAAGGTTAAAAAAAAAATATAGCCAGATGGCAACCTGATTAAGAAAAAAGTCAATACATTTATGAAACATAGTAACTGGGTCCCATGAGTAACCCAGGCTGCTGCCCTGCAAGTTATGTGCATTTGTGCTAAGAAAAAAAAAAAAAACAAGGCCTTGATATCAGAGAAAAAAGGTTTCAGAAAGAATATCCTCTGTTCCAGAAGTCTACTTCTATGTATGGAAGTATATCCTTTAGAAGCTTCATTATTGAACATTAACTTTTGCATTGCTTGCACTTTCACAATAATAGACCCTGATCTTGCAAAAGAGGGGCAGTCCTACACTGTGTTCCAATCAAATTGTTATAAAAAAAGGTCACTGTTATTGGTAATCCCCCGTGAGCCTTTATGATGCCACACGTCAGGCATTTTCAAAGAAGGAAAGGCAGTATCATAGAATCACAGAATGGTTTGTGTTGGAAGGGACCTTAAAGACCATCCAGTTCCAACCCCCCTGCCATGGGCAGGGACACCTTCCACTAGACCAGGTTGCTCCAAGCCTCATCCAGCCTGGCCTTGGACACTTCCAGGGATGGGGCATCCACAGCTTCTCTGGGCAACCTGTCCCAGTGCCTCCCCACCCTCTCCATGAGGGGTGGGGGATTATTATGATATTTATGATTATTATGATCCTATTATTACGATAATAGGATCATCAGATCCTATTATCTTCCTGATATCTAATTTAAACCTCCCCACTTTCAATTTAAACCCGTTACCCCTTGTCCTATCACTACAGGCCCTTGTAAAAAGTCCCCCCCAGCTTCCTTGTAGCCCCTTCAGGCACTGGAAGGTGCTATAAGGTCTCCTCGGAGCCTTCTCTTCTCCAGGCTGAACAAGCCCAACTCTCTCAGCCTGTATCAAAACTTACAAGTGAAAAAAAATCCAAGGGTTATCTCAAAAAACCCACAACATACTATAACATACTATAATTATCCATACAAGGGTGCCAGTAATGGCAGCCTTATCTTATTTTTCTCATTTCTTTCAAGTTTATAGACTTTTCAGTCCTAATGAGGTGATGCATACAGCTGTACTGCCTGTCCACTACTTCTCTTCCTGCCTCCCTGCACCCTTTTTCTTCTCTGCAAGTATCTGGTGAGCCAGATGTGACAGAGAAAGCGAGGTTGTCAACGGTCTTAAATTACTATTGCACTGTGAAAAGTTAGTTAAGTGAGATACAAGCTCTACATTAGTGTCCCACTGAGAATACAAAAGCTCAGCACAATAAGCACACTTGTATCTGCAAATATGCCACTTCTAGCCCAGCTGGTATTTGGGAGAATTAGAAACCAGGACAGAAATTAGGGATGCAAGTGAAGAAGGCAGTGAAGGAGACAGCTCAGAGCAAAGGTGAAGTTTGGTTGGTGCTGTGTCAGGCTTAATTGATCAAGAGTGGTGTTTATGGATACAGAACTCTGAACCAAGCTCTGCTAGTTCTGCTGCTCACAACCCTTTGTTTTAAGGTTTTCTAACCGAGGCCCTGCTATCGCTACCCCATCAGCAACCCCCACGGAATAGTTTCTAAGCAAGAGCTGTTGCCTGAAGACTTCCAGGCGTGTAGTCCCATCTTTCGTCGATCATGTGTAACCATGCAATGAGTTGGATGAAGGAAGTGAAGTTTCCAAAAGAGGGGTGGGAATAAAAACCAGAGCAATTCAGCTGGCTGAAATGTTTTTAACTGGTTCTGTTCCTTAGTTTGGGCCACCCCATAGCTGTGAGTGCCAGCGCAATGATGTGGCAGGAGCACGTGACTGGGATAAACCGTCCCGTTCAGTTTAAATCAGCACGAAACCCACGCTTTGCAAAAAATCACTTTTGTTGCATCCTGGAAGGCAAAAAAACCCCAAGTATTTACATGTACTTACTTCTGACATGTCATGCACCAATAGGAGAGGAATACTAATGGTAGTAATGTCATGTGTGCAGCAAACTTTGAGAATGTTTCTGAGCCCCATGATTGCAGGATCCCGAGCAGTTATGTTACCAGACCTTATATTATCATCCACACAGAGGTGAAAAGCAACATGGATTTCAGAGAGGTTTGAATGGCGTGTGATGTAGAATTCTCCTGCAGAATAACAAAAAACAAGATGGCAAGGTATCACAGCAGTGATCTGCACTGCAACACAACTGTTGTACCATGGGAGCATAGGGTTGGTTAAGGCAAAAAGCAAATCCAAGTATACAACAGAGATTACAACACATCCATGAGATTAAAAAAATAAAGTTAGAAACCCACTGATTTCAGACCTCTTGGAACATCATTGCTTAACATTCACCCTACATTCACCTTCCTGCTTTGATGGGTTTCACTGGCATCACGGACACCTGGTGTAATAAGACATAACAGTGCTAGTACAGGCGGATACGATCTATATATAGCACGAAACAGAAAAACCAACAGAGAGGAAGTGTAATACTCAAAATATATAACGCAAGCACTGAATTGCAGACAGATGTGGGAGGCGGAAGTACCAAAAATGGATGGGGTGAAAGAAAGGATGTAAAAAGTCTGTGGAAAAAGATAGTGGGTTACGTAACAACTGAGATTTGTACTGGAAGACAAAGGTGTCAATGATCATTGGAATTTAAAATAGTTCATAGTAATGGGAAGATGAGTTACACAGCTGTTTGCAAAATGTTACCAACACATCTCGTTGGGGGTATTTTTAGGCTTGTATTAATTTATCAAAGGTAGAAAGAGTAAGGTGCAGTGGAATGCAGGTCTCTCCATCTCCCCTTTCCGCTGGAGATCAGAAGTCTGTACTAGAGACAACAGAAACACAGGAATGCTAAACCCCTGCTGTTTCAGTCAGATAGACACCTTTCCTCAAACTCACTCTCACTGGTCACTGACATGAAGATACCACCTTTGTACTGGGACAGCTGAAGAAAGGGTATGTAGACCCTTCTGATGACTGCTAAGGAGGCAGTAATCCCCAGTGCTGACCACCTCGGAGCAGTAACACACAAGCCACTGCAGCAAGATTCGCCCAGACTTATCTGTTAAGGAACTAAGTTGATTTATAAACCATTTATACGAACAGGATCTCAGACAGACAACCATGAAAACAATTTTAAGAAGCCCTCTTATTCAAGCCTGGGTTGTATGGATTTTACTCCTCCCCACCTCCAACTGTGTATTCATCTTCAAATTCCACAGAAGCTTTCCTTACTACAAATCACAAAATATTCAGAAGATCATTCCTCTGAGTGGAATGAATTTGTACATTTTCTAGTTAAAAAACAAAGTAAAATGCTTTGCTGTGTCACAGTGACACATAAATATATTTTCAAAAAGAAAATTAACTTGCTAGTGTTTAAGTTTCACCTTTGCCCAAGATGCTCAGAGATTTTTCACCTCCAAATTCTGAAAAGAAATTTTAGGCATAGAGAAGTTAAGTGATTTGCCCCGAGTCACATGATGCCGTTGGCAAAGCTGGGAATCGAAACCAGATGTCCTGACACCCAGTTCTCTGCCTTAGCCACAAGAACATCCTTGGCCTCTGATTGAGGTCAACTCAGGTTTAGTTTATAATTTATGTTCTGCCTTTAGAGCTAAAAATGTGCATCTATAAAACACAATTTGCTTTAAGAAGAGGGGGAAAAAATGCAACAGAACTCACCCGGCAAAATATTTGACTGGTTTCGTTCAATACTCTTTAATTTCTCTTCATTTCCACTACTTTTATTTTCTGTAAATGAACAGATAGCGCAAATATTAAACGTATCATCTATTAATTACACTTTGGCATGAACGTTTGATGTACTGTGATGATATCTCGCTTGAATTTTTACCATAAAATCCCCAGAAAGCAGGGGGGTGGAGAGGAAGCGATTTTGCTGTCTTCAATAGACACTGAACTGAATCCTATCTCAAATCATTAGCTGTCTTACTTCATCATCATCCCATACCTCTTCATTTGGACAAAAGAAAACACAATATTCTCAGACATAATATTCAACTTTCCAAACTTCCCCCAGAACCACAAAGTACCTTGCTATTGCTTTTAAAATAATGTAACTAAACCAAAGCTGTTCCTAGTATTACAAGAACAGTTTTAAATATGTTTACATAGATCAGCAGTATAAACACAGCTTTCACAGACTTTCCACAACTACAATAAGCAGGTTCCTAGGAAAACTCGTTTCTCTATATACTCTTACGAATCTATTCATGCTACTGTCGTATTTTAATCACTTAAGTAGTTCTTCACAAGAAAAAGAGAGTTTCACGATGTACAAGTAGTGCCTTAACACCACGTGGTCAGAAGGTTTCACAGCCATCTGTAAACATGACTGTAAGTAAACCATTCACAAGGATTTGGTCAGCACTAAAAAGTATACACATTTAGTCAATTTATTATTTAGTTTTTAGAGTTCATGAAAGAGTCGTAACTTCTCTTCTGCAATTTTTAATGCTTTACACTTAAATGGAAATAAAGGAGTCAGATAAAGTCCGTGTTGCTACAGGCAGTTTAAACTGCAGAGGAAAGCACAACTGCCCCATGCACTTCTCACGTTGTTAAAGTGTGATCAGAACCTAAGGACTTATATTTGTTTTCTTTCTGTAAGGTCTGTGTTACAGCAGCAAAAAGACATCACATGGACATGCTGCCTGTGAAGAGAATTTCGTGCAGACTTCCCAGAGTTTATCGACAAACATTCCACTCCATAGATCAGGTAACTGAAGAACAGTGAAATCAACTCGCCCGTTACCATAAACATTCAGCTGACCACTATTCTATTTCAAGGAAAGTAATTTTGGTTGTCACTGACCGTGATGTCTTTTCGACTTACTGCTACGCTGTGCTCTGGCCTTAAGTACAACCTGCTGGACAATTTCAAGCTGTACTTGAATTCCAGGAAAATGGAAATCTGTGCATTCTTGGCAAACGGTTGCAAAATCTAGGAAAACAAAATAAGATTAAGATACACGTCATAAGGCTGTGCTTAGCAGCATTACGTAATTCTGCTCTATTGTTCGAGCAAGGCCAGTTACAAAGCCCTCCCTACAAGACTATGTCCTGCTGTACTCTTTAAATACTAAATCCTCTTCAAATACTAAAAAAATCATGGCAGAGAAAAACCATTTTTTGGAAATAATTGAATTGCTTGATGGGGAAAACAAACCAACCCTTGAGTGTTGTTGCTCTTCAAAGAAAACCACCCAGATAAAAGAAACCACCCAAAATAACAGCAATAATGTATGTGCATTAATGTAACGGTGCTTTAAAACTACTTTATAAATCACAGTCCTTCAATCTGTGATACTCCATTAAAACATACATGACAGATGCTTCCAACAGCAACAACAGCACCTCAGTTTGTTTTGAAAAAATGCGAGCTATTAATGAAATTCATAAACAGTGTATCTGGAAAGCTGCAGATACAATTCTTTCCTTCTGTTCTCAAAACACAGATCTGAAAGCTAAAGAAAAAAAGTGTCATCAGCTGAGAAGAGCTGCAAATTCCTTCTCCTGATAAGCAAGTGTTATGTCAGACTTGGAAATATTATACTGATTATTAGGATCATAACATACTGCCTCTGTGACTGGTATTCTAAGCTACTTGTCCTAATGCCCAGCTGTCTCTCCAAGCAAGTCAACAGGAGCCAAAACAAGCTATTAGCAGGGAACTGGACCATATTATACAATTGCTACTTACTTCCCATTTTGAGGGACCTGCTCTAGTGTTCCTTAAGGTTCCTAATGTACTCTGACTGCCTAGCTGGAGAGCACTCCTGCAAACAGGCTGTGACAGACACAGGCAGGGTAGAGAGAAAAATCTCAATGCATGTTATCTTTTTACATGAAGTCTCCAACATATAATCTCTTTGAAAAGGCTTTATTAAATTCTGGTATTCAAAACCAAAGAAGGAAGCAGCTCATATTCCAAAAGATTGTGTTGTCTTTGTTTACCAAGACAAGGTCACAAGACATTTTGTGGGAACCAAACGAAAAATCTCATGTATTTAAATTAATTTCAGTTTTAGTTTATCCTTTGCCTAACTGTGCTACACCTACTCAAAACCTGAGTCACAGTAGCCCTACAAAGTCCTAATACGAGAGACTTGAGCTAGGCAATGCATAAAGAATATAAAGAAACTATTCATCTAGCTTAGAAAAAAATAACCTGAATGAAATTAGCACGTTGACAGTTCACAAATCGGTTCAACTTTCTGTTCAAGGCTGTTTTCTAGAGTTGTGTCCAAATCTGATTTCAGAGGCGTATTTTGCTAGTTGCTGTTTACACATTGTGAGAAATACAGAAAACTCTACAGTCATGGTTTTCAGTCTTGGAAATACCTCACATACATCCTGAATTTTGAGACAAACGGAACCATTTTTGGATAACATATTTGGCAGAGATGTAACATCAAAATGTTTGCCAGACACGACAGAACTAGGAAAATATACTAAATCAAGAACATTCCTAAGCTTCCTCAGGGCAGAGCTAAACAAACCAGATCAACCAACTAAGTTGAAGGCCTTCATACCTCCAGGTATGCTTGCTGAGTGACTGGTGCTGCTCAAAACAATGTTCAGTGCTTGGATAAACAGCAAGCTCATGAGGGTCCTGCACCCCAACCACCTTTAAAAGCCTCAGAGGTTTGAGGGAGCTTCTAGCCCATCACAAAAGAAAGGCTATTAGGTTTGTACTTTTCCCTGGCTTTGAAACAGAAGCAGAAAATTGTTTCTGCACTTCTGTAACCCACAAACTTTGACTGCACAAGCCACCACCTCTCTATTTAAACAATAGCATCAGCATGTTAAATAAAGGTCTTCTATATAGCAATTTTAGGAGCCTTCGAATGCCCTAGTATATTTATTTTTTAAAGAGCCTTTTAGGAAGAGAATTGGTTCTGGCTAGTGCTCTTGCAACAAACACCTTTAACAGTTCAAGAGCAAAGTCTCCTCTCAAAGGTGTTTATTGCTACTCTTTTGCCAGAAGCTACCACTGTCGCCACAGAGTGGATTTAAAGAAATGTGACCCAACCTCTATTGCCACCTCTAGTGGTTTGGGGGTCTAAGTACAACCAGATGTTCACTGATGGTTTAAAGTAATATATCCGACTAGGTGAGAGGAGCCAAGACATGAGGCACATTAATTTCTGCAACATTTTAAAAGAGAATGGTGGTGCAGACAGCTGTGGAACATGCCGACAGCTAAGTTCACCAAGGTCCCTTTTGAAGACCAAGAAATCAATTTATTGAGAATTTTACAGATTGTGATACACTCCCTTATTTCCCCCCCTACTGTGGCTGCAAGATCTAAGTGGTGGCTAGAAGATGCAATTTGGTGTTTAATGTTATTGCTTAGAAGCCTGTCTTCTCCTGTCACCTAAGATTTAGCATAAAAATAGATCTCCTCTATTTGTTATTAATTTAAATATTTAAGCAGTAAAAAACCCAAACTGTAACTGAAAATGAGTACAAGTATGAAATAACACTGTCAGAATTAAGCAACTTGGGAAACACAAACAGCACAAATGCAACTGCAGTTTTTGCTGCTACACTTCTTTTTTGCTACAAGCCTGATTCCACAGTTTTCAGAGAATATCAACCACCAAAGTCTATTATGTTTTTCCTATGGCATGCTAGAATAATGACAAGTAATAGTGACTTTAGTCAAAAAGACATTTCCAGTGTAAATATTTTCATATTAAACCTCAAGAGGAAGGTGGCAAAGTCAATAATGTGGTTCAGAGAAAGCCTCGGTGACCAAAACTGGAACAGGAGTAGAACACCTTTCCTGGTTAACCTTGATACAACACACCTTCATTGTGTGCAGTCACTCAAAAGACAAGCACTTACAATGGCTACTAATCAAGCTTTCCAGGAGTAGGCAAGGAATATTCCTATTGCTCATTTTTAATGAAAGTCAGTGTTGGACATACCTAAAGCCCATGGTATTTTTACACATTTACTTATTAATTTAAAATTGTAGTGTATTTCATTGTCATCTGTGCAAACAGAATCATAGAACGGTTTCAGTATGCTGAGCTGACACAAGGCAGTTAGAAGCACCTACAACAACTCAGTCTCGGGCATGAAATCAACACTGAAGTGTTCACTCTAACATGCTCCTTACTCAAACACAAAACCCAGGAAAGAGATGAGAGAAAACAGCATGTCTGGGCACAACTGTCTCCCCCCATCCTTATTTGTCTTTCTCTTTCCATCTGTAACCCTTTTCGATACCATGTCCAAAACATTAGCATCTCCAGGAAATTTTTATTTTATAGGGAATATTTTTCTGTGAGGGAAGACAAGCTTTTAAGTGACATTTGTTTTCGCTACCACCATTAGAGGACTCACCTCTTTTGATGCCACTATATGAACTGATACGGTTATCCACCAATAAAACCAGCCCACAGAGAGAAGTGGAATAGAGAGACATTGCAGTTTGGAGTCTGTGAAGTTTTACTCCACTGCGATGATTGCGCTTATGTTTACAGAAATCCAGCATATCAGCTCTCAGTAATCTCAAGTTATGCATAGTCTTCAGCTGAGCTCCTGCATGGAATACAAGTGATTTTAATACGTACAGTAAAAGAGAAAACTCCTGGTTGTTATTAAAGTGCAAGGGATCAAAGTGCTACCTTAAGTTTGTGAAAAAGATCTGTAAGGGAAATATAATCAATAATACTCAAAAAAGTTCTTAAACCATATATTTAGTTTTACGTACACATCAGCAATTTACACCATAAAAGTAAAAATGCAGTATTTTCACATGCTATCACAAAGCAGGGCTTATCTATACCTGAAATGAGCATTGTTCCCCATTGTAAAGCTATGGATGAAACACTAATGCAGTCAAAACAGACAGCGTAAGAAGTTTCTGTTGTAGAAGTAAAAAGTAAGAGTTAAGTATCTGTTTTTCTGTTAATTGATCATGACAATGAAATCTAGTATCTACATATTCTTACCAAACATAAAAAATGTTAAAATATAATTTTTAACCTCTGTATTTTGATCTTTGTGTGCTTTTCTACACTGGTTACCTTGCTAGGGCAGATAAAAAAACTGCTTCTAGGAAGTTCTCCATCAAGTATATTTCAGGTAGTTAGATATTGTTTGATACAGTTTGTACCGTTCTGTACTTCTCTTACATATGTAAAGAACAAATACAAAACAATTACAAACTGTATGTATTATATACACTGACAGTTAAATACCGTAAATACATGGCTTAGATACATTATTTATTAGAATCTGGTTTTGTGTTTGGTTTTTATGTTTGCTTTACTTACCCAAGTGAATAGTAAAACTTTCTTCTAACAGCCTTTGCTCTTCATAAATTCTTCCATTTCCTTCTACAGATTCTCTCAGTTGACTGGGCTGAACCTTAATTTCATCACTGAAATAATGAGAAACGTACAGAAAAGTTTATCCTAGTTTTTGTTCAAGGCCAGCAATGTTTTGTGAAAGCTATCTAAAAGTTTTCTCAGCTACCCTGTGGAAACCACGAGACTAAACCTATGTAAGCGACCTCCACTGATCTGAGGTTTTTCCCTTCTGGCATGCGATACTCCAGGTGCATGCCAGCAGGAAGAGCAGGCTCCACTGTTACACTTATATTACCTAGCTCATTCGTCAAGTATGCTGAAACAGAGAAACAAAAATAAGTCGCAATAGCTAGTTATAACATAGTAAGAGCATATGAATAAAAGGGTAAAAAAACCAAAAAAGAATTCCTCTCAACCTGTTTGTAATACTCAAAACCTTATTTCTGAAGTTACTAGACAAAACGTTTCTTTTTTCCCCAAACACAAAATGGGATGTTAAAAAAAAAAGGTCAAATCAAACACTCCACACTGTTCAAACTAGCAGGAAATATTTCAGGTATAAAAGTTTTAATTTTTTTTCCTAAATTCAACTGTCTGGTAGTATGTGATAACTAGCACTGTTTCTGCCAAATGCAAGAACATGAACATCTCTCCAATTTGTTTCAGTGTTAACGAAAACTTTCTTTGTTTCCGAAGTGTCCAACCTTTCAAAGAGTTTGATAAGCTTGCAAGCAATTCCAGTAACTGCAAATGCCTAGTAACGAGGCAGAACTGAGATATACTATTAATAATATATATGTACACACACGTAGAATCATAGAATGGTTTGGGTTGGAAGAGACCTTAAAGACCACACAGTTCCAACCCCCCTGCCATGGGCAGGGACACCTTCCACCAGACCAGGTTGCTCCAAGCCTCATCCAGCCTGGCCTTGGACACTTCCAGGGATGGGGCATCCACAGCTTCTCTGGGCAACCTGTCCCAGTGCCTCCCCACCCTCTCCGAGAAGAACTTCTTCCTGATATCTAATCTAAACCTCCCCACTTTCAATTTAAACCCATTCCCCCTTGTCCTGTCACTACAGGCCCTTGTAAAAAGTCCCCCCCAGCTTCCTTGTAGCCCCTTCGGGTACTGGAAGGTCTCCCCAGAGCCATATCTTTATGCATCTAGCTGCTTATATATATATAAACACACATATCTTATGTCTATGTGTGTGTTACACACCTGTTTTTCTCTCTCTCTCCCTCTCTTTAACTTTCTAGTTGCCCTGCTATGAACTTCCTGTGCATTACTTTCAAACGCATTAGGGACCTACAGTTTTCAGGCCTCAGCACTTTCTGCCAGTGTTATGTGAGTGCAATGATTCAAATACTATCCCTTCACGTCTGTTACAAGCATCTGAGATTATGAAGCCAAAGCACCCCCACTCTGAGGTACTTGCCTCTGGACCTCCAGCAGTCCATTTCTTCTAGGTTTCCCTTCTAAGCAACACCCCCTTGGTCTTATTTTACAGCAGCAGAAGGCCAGAACATGGGAAGAGGTTCACATTGGTAAGTATGAATAGCCTTTGTAAATTCGCTAGCTTTAAGGCCTCATGGAAATAAAGTTAACATGAAAATTCTGGAAAAAAATATTTTAGGATTGGGCTTGTAGCCTGAGCAGACTGTCTCTACTGCAATGATGTTTTACCTGGCCAGTAATTTAGAAAGAGGCCAGCTTGCTTGTGAGCTGAGCAGTCCTAGGGCATTCTGGGACTAACCCAAGAAGTGCAAAAGACTTACAAAACAAATTCACAGATCAAAAAATCCTAAAGAAAGTGGTGTGAAATCTAAACATACAGCATCATCTTCCAATCTAACTCGCCTCCTCTCCTTCTTCCCTTGTGTTCCATACACTCTGCTTCCTTATCCCAAAAGGAAGCTCTCTTAAGAGAAGGTGATGAAGTATTTAGTGCATTATGATCCATGACTGCCTCGTTTTATTACTGGCATCCACTTTGCTCAAAGGTGTTTCATTTCACATAAAACTCCTTACTGCATCCACCTAAATCCACACAAACAGGCTCTTCACGAGGCGTGAGAAAGCATCAGGTTTTACTCCAATTTTTCCACTACTAGCCAAGGTGTTGGCTACTAATGACAAAAAATAAGGATCTCCAAGTTACAGATTCAGATTTCCCTGTTATTTCCTCAATCAGAAAGCTTTACATTCAACTCTCACCCCAAGTGTTTGTTACCCTTTTTTTAGGAGTCCAATGACGTGTACATAAAACAACAACAAACCCCAACCACAGAGAGGGGCTTGTTAATTAAAGAATTGTGAAGCTCTCACCATTTATTAAGCTACAATTATTCTGCAGAACATCCTTAAGTGGTAACAGAAAGCCTTGTGGAATAGTGCTAAAGACAGACACTGTAAATAAGGGCAAAACAGGAAGAAACCCCGTTCAGCACATTTGTAGTTCAGTACATTGCAACTTCCTGATACAGAGAGGTTATAATATTACACAGTAAAGAAACTCCTAAAACTATAAATATTGAATTATGATGGTTTAATTTGAGTTTGATTAAACACCTAATCTGAAATAAAAATTATATAAAAGCAAGTCCTCTCAATCATTACAGATGGAAGTACGCAACACACAAGAATTCCATACCTGATGGAGCTGTTGTTGGGATTCTTTAGGTCCTGATGAAGCTTTATCACCCATTCCTGATATTCCTGCTTCTGGATAGCAGAAGACTGTTTTAATTCATTGGTCCATTTGTTCTCCAAATCCTAACAAGATGACAGCGATAATTTGAGAGGATTGGGTTTTCGTTTTAAGACAATTATTTCCAAGATGTATTCTGGTTCACTGAAGTTAGTTTACCTGCTGAGATTCAAAATGCTGAGCCGCTAATGAATTTACATCTTGGTCCGTTAGTGATTTCCCTAGCTCCTGCATCACCTTATCCATTTCTGCTCCTTGTCTGAAAGGGAAGCAAACTTAAGATTTTCAACAAGCACCACTTTTAAAAAAAAACTGGCAGAAGAACACCCTTTGTTGTCGATATAGTTACAATACCATGATCGGTTGTATCAGTTAGCTGGTATCAGTCAAGGCTCACCACAAGCAGAGAAACAGCTGAACACACAGACGAAAAACACATCATACCGTACTTTGTCCATCTGCTCATTCTGGAATCGGCATTCATGCATTTAAAATGTGCCCTCACACACATCCAAAAGAAGGTACAACAGCATCTCCAGATACTCTAACGTAGCACTGTACTATCCTTACCACTAGAAGAGTTTTGAAATAGACCTACTCAATACCTTGCTTTCCTCCCACCCCAACCACAAGCTAATGCAGACAGGTAAACACCAGGAAGTAAGCTAAACACACCCATTTTTAACAGTCAGATGAGCTTCCACCTCAAACTACATTCAACAAGGGGACCTGGACCTGAAGGGCTGCCCTGCTGTTATCAGTTCATCCAATACCTCATCCTCCCTTAGTCTTCTTAATCCCTGGCTTTACGTCGTCTTTCACATTCAGCCCTTTCTTCAACAAGGAACCAATGTTCACTAGCACAGATTTAGCAATGAACATCCACAAAACACATCTGAGGTGAGGGTCAGCTCCTACGTAAACAGGACAACACCTACACCGGTCGGGGATAGGTGTCAGCTGCCACCGACACAGGGAGTTTCTCGATTATGAAAAGCAGCTGCATATTGCCTCTGGTGGAATTTATCCTACCTGTATCACACCAGAGCTCTACAACACTCCTGCTCTTAGGATTAACAACTCTTCTTCTGTACACATACTTGCCAAGAGTCAATAAGCAGCAAGAAGGTTTGCTAACACAGTATTCGCAACATTTATCCCCGGATTAGAACACCGTACGTGTTCCCTCTTGTGGGCAAAGCAGCCACCTGCAGCTATTCAAGCCTACTTGGAAAACTCAAAAATCGGGATCCCACAGACTTCCCTAAATTTCAAATACCACCATTTCCGATTTAAAGTTGGTTCAAGTCTTTTGTTCATCTTTTCATATATTTTACTTTCTAGATATCCTACGTTGCTACACCACTTACAACACACACAGAACCATGGAAATTAAGCCTTATACTCCTCTTAGGACCTCAGACTACGGTGTTAGGGTCAACTATCTCGTTGTCCTCAGTTGCTGAAAATAAAAGCTAAGCATTATGAGTTTAAAGAGGTAAACATGAATGTAAAATAGGGCTTACACAGACAAATACAAGTTGACACGTCGTCCTATGAGTTGTATACACCCAGTAGCATGCACCCCTACTTGATTAAGCAGAAGAAAAAAAAAAA